TTCTTTTGACAAAAGGATGAAGTCTCTATCTGTCAGGGAAGCCGAGATATTGCAAAATAAAAAAGGTCTTCAACTTTTGAACAGCACTTTTTATATAAAAATTAACCCGGTCCTGAAAGGGTTAAACTACTTCGTCTGTTTTTCTCTCGAATAACTTAACAAGGAAAAATCATCTAGAGTATGTTTCAACAAAATCTCGTTGAATATTGCATAATTTACTATAAAAAGAAGTTCAATATTGTCCCTTTTATTTTACTCTCATTATTAACGATGAGTTAATGTATAAACAATAATAATCGTCTGTGCTTTACATGAAATCTATATAGAGCACATTCATTCCTAAAACGTCGAGAAATTGATACAAAATTATCTTTGTCTTTAGCTTCTCAATCCTCTATAATTATTAAAAATTTCATAGACTTTGGGTGCCTTTACATATATATTATTTACTTCATTTCAGCAGGTAGCTTTTTAACTACTTCTAAGAGGTTGTGATACAAAAGAGTTAACACCAAAAACAAAATGGCGGAACGATTATAATTTTTTTTTGTCTGTTTTTTATTAAATTTAAAATAGGAAAAACAGTTCTTTTGGTTAAAAAAGTGGCTAATACTCTCTACCAACTATCAAATATTGCCTTCCTATTGACAAACAAAAATTTAAGTGATATGAAAAGAAAATGAACGATGTTCAAACCTTTGATTGTATCAAATTCGGCATGTTTTTGTTTTTTAATTCCATAGCTAATATTTTCATCTTTTCCAGCTGTAAGCATCGCTGAATGTGAAACTTTAAGACGTGAGGAGCTTGATGGCGACGATAACTTTGGTGCCTATTCAGAAATAAACAACAAACAAGATATTTACTCTTTGTTTTCAATATAATACTTGATTTACTCACGTCTGTACTCGTCGTAGCATCTCCTGTATTACTACTTTGCTGTTCTGATCTTAAACGTCTTAAATATTGTGCAGCCAAATTAATATATAAATTTTTATTTGTTGATTTATCATAAATTTCTTTTTCAATCTTTCGAGCTTTTTGATGCATTCCATCTAATGATAATGACTGCTTATTTGTACGTTTAATTTCGCGAACAAACATGTCAACGTATTGTTGCCGCGTACTAAGTGGAATTTTAGTAGAACTACTATTTGGATCAATAATCGGTGTTAGCGTTGATTTAAGAATGTTTGCACTTGGAGCGGGTTTATGAGCAATACGTTGACCAGTGGTACACGTTTCAGCACGTGTTCGATTTGATGTCTGCGAGGTGTTATTATCATCACTATCACTATTTGTTACATTCATATAACGAGAAATAAATTGTTGAATAGAAGATGGTGGTGTTTGCTTTTTAGTCGGATAGAATGTTGAAGCACTTGCTGAGTTTGATGATGTTTGTTTTTGTTGATGATCATAGCGTTCCAGACATTGTATCATATCATTACAATCATCACTGTTTGAAGTTGAAGGATACAAATTATCAAAAACAGCCAATTCATCGTCTTCGTCTTTATTGTCAACTGTCGACGTTGACGCTCGTGCATTATCATTCAAACAGTAGTAATCATCTAGTGTACCATTCGTATTATCATCATGATCAACATCAAAATCATTTGATTCATCTGCAAAACAATTGAAACTCTTGTTTTAATGAAGATATACGCAAACTAATCTCATTTCGCTTACCTTGTGTTCGTTTTGTTAAAACTTTCTTTGTTTGTTGTTGAACTCGATTCGTCGCATTTGTTACAGGTTTTCTTATTGTTGATGACGTATTGTTTACTATTTTTTTATTCAGCACCGTAGTCGAATTGATTAACTTTGTTTTTTTCTCTGGTATATCATTCGTCATTTCGTGTACTCGTCTTTTACGATTATTCAGCCCTCTATTATCAAAACTATCCAAGATATCCTCATCATTAGTATTATATTCGATGGGATTTGACACTTTAATTGATGAAGTTGTCGGTACGGAAAGTAAGTCAATATCAGACACACGTGTTTTTTTAGGAGCTGATGATGGTTTAACGTTTGTTTGTACTAATGGTTTCTTTTTTGGTATTGGTTTTAGCATTGGATCTAATGTTGATACTTTTTTGCTATTTGTTACTGCCTTTTGAAGTGACATCGATGGTTGATTTTGTTTCGTTGTTGTCATCTTTTTAGCCGTTAATTGTTGTTGTGTTGTAGTATTAACTTTTTTCGCTGGTTGCTGAGCAATTAATTGTTGAACTTTGTCATTTAATTTAGTCGAGATGGGCTGCACATTTTTTACTATTGTTGGCTGTGTTTTTTCGTGTGTTTGTGATGGTTGTTTATGGACGATTTGTTTCCTTTCATCTTGATCTTGATGTCCATCATTATCTGAAGATGAATGCCGCGTTTTTTTTGATGGTTGAGCTGTTGAGGAAAACGATAGTTCAGTCTTGGTAATCGGTTTGTTCTTTATTTTATTGGAACCAGGAGGTGTAATCCAAAAATGATTACTATCAGGTGTTGTATTTATTGATCTTATAGGTTTTGAAGATGATGGAACAGACTTTTCTTCATGTCGTTTCTGACTAAAATAGCAACAAAATTACGTTTTAATATTTTGTTTTTAGAAATTTTGAAACATGATTATGACAATTACACAGTTCTTACTTGAAGAGTGTTGGAGTATTCACGGATGTTACTGTTATTGCAGAAGTATTCTGTTGTTCGTCTAACTGAGAAACAGATTGTGCAAGTGTTGGAGGTGAAAATGTGGCTCGAATATCAGTATCAAAATTACTATTATTATCAGAATCAATAGCAGAAATGTCTATAGGTTCTAGAATAAATGAAAAAATAGCTTTAAGTAATAACTGCATAACGCAACTTCAATCTTACCAAGTTTAATTGGAACTATTGGCTCGGGTTTAATTGACGGAATATATTCACCACCATTGAGTAATCGTTTTCTTCTTTCTAACTCAGCAATCGGTGTTGGTTTATACTGTGGCACTTCTTCAGTGCTAGCAGAAATTCCTTGTTTACCATTGGCTTTTACTTCACTAGTTTCTACTGGTGTTGTAACGGAACTTGGAGAAATAGTATTAGTTGACGATTGTTGTAACTGACTAGTTATTGAAGTAATTGCTTGTGTGAGTTCGTCTGGAGAAGTTGAGGGCGTTGTTAAGGCGTTGACTAGCACACTCGTTAAATTCTGCAACAAAGAGTTTTGAAGTATAGATGTTAATGCGGCTTGTGTTATTTGTGGAGATGATGACGATGATGCTTGATCGGCATTGATAGAAGTCGCCTGTGGAATTGAATTATTCAATTGATTCAACAAATTGTTCAGAGTAGTATTTGATGTTAGATTTGGCTCTAAATAAATTCATGAACTTTTACTTTTCGAGATAGAAACTTAAGTTAAAACAGAAACAAACCTGTTCCTGCTGCTACGGTAAGCCTGTCGGTGACATTTGAAGATGTTGATTTGACATGCTTATAATGACAATAAGGTCTTTCACATAAAGAGGATGAAAAAAACGGGCATATGTTTTGTTTAAAATTACCAGCGGAAGGAAACATCTAAAATAAAACAAAAATAACAGAGTTCAAAAGAATGTCACTGAAAGTTGTTCACATTCGAATTCTCAGATTTAAGGATATATGGATCAATGGTCTGGTTCATAACCACTATTCATAAGTAATACATTCGGTTTTCTGCGTCTTTCTATCTCAGCAAAACAAAATCATGAAATACTAAATACTCTGTGATAAGAAATACATGTGGTTTTACTATATGATCAGGTATAAAAGAAGAGAAACATTCTATTCAGATGTATGATTCTTTTCCGATCTTCCAGGCATAAATAGGGTTGCATGCCGCAGTTTAAAAGATTTCAAAAACTGCATAATTTACACTAGTTGTGTTAAACTAAAATACTAAAATTGCCCGTCTATCGTTTAACTGACTTCTCGACTCTACAAAACAAGACTTTCGGGAATTTAAATTTCTTAGTTTTCTATCTTCCATATTTGTTCTCTACATATTTTTCCTTTTTATGGCAAGTTTTAACAATCGTTCTTTCAGCCGTTATTAACGGTTGTTATTCACGACTAAAAGAAAGTTATTTTTTAACCTTCTTTTTCGATGCGTGTTCTGATCATATGTATATATCCATGAATTTTTTTGTTCTTTCTTCTAGAGTGTTTAGTTGTGAAAACCTACCTACAAAATCATAGATTGTTTCCTCCACAAAAATTCGCAAAACATCATGTATTTATGCAGAAACATTCACAGTTTTACGAGTTATGGATGTCGCCAGGAATGTCGAAGTTGTAGCTTTGAATTCTACTTTGATGGATAGAGTTTTAGTAGAGTTACTAAGTCACATTTCTGTCAAAACATTAAGAAGAAAAGTCCACTTTTAATTCTAAAATAGTTTCAGAATCCGCAGATGATTCTTCATTAATTGAATTTCGCTCTAAGACTGAACGACCATTAATATACCAAAAACAACAGCAGTCAAAATGCCTTTTCTTTTGCTATACTTCACAACTACACGTCATGTTAACAATTCGATTCCTATGCATAATATAAAGCTTTCAACTAGCCTGGAGCCTGTTTCTCAAAAACACTTAAGTATTTCACTGAACTTGATTTGAGGGAAAATTAAGTAGTACTTAATATAAGGGACACTTAAGTTTCCCCAATTTTCATAATTTCCCCATTTCTTAACCAAAATTCAGGGTTGTTTTTTTGTTTGATAGGGAAACATTCCAAGTTTAATTTCATAAGATCGGAAATTTTTGTGTATAAAAAGATCAGTATGGAAGAATAATAAAACTTACATATGTTTTCTGTGTAAATATTTGTAATACTGCGTAAAGATTGTTGAGCTTGTAAATAGAATCTTTGTCAGAGTCGCATTACCCTAGTGAAACTACTTATAACCAAGATCTTGGCTTCTTGAATTTTTTGAGTAAGATCTTGATTCAAGATCTTGGTAAGAAAATATAAGAATTCAAGAAATTTCAAGAAGTCAAGATCTTGAACATCTTGTAATTTCTTGACTTCTTAGAGTTTGAGTTGACTCTTTAGAGTTTTGCTACAAGAAGTTAAGTTCTCCGTATAAGCATGATCTACATGCAATCAGAGCTGAGCAACTCAACTCCGGAGTTGAGCGTTTTTTTTACGGACTTGGAGTTGGCTTTTTAAACGACCGGAGTTGAGTTGATGACAGATCTTGTCAACTTCAACTTCGAAACTCCGGTTCACAATTTCTTCAACTCCATTTCCTTTTCTTCGCCAGAGTTCTTTTTGTCTGATTTTTATCTATTTTTATCGCGAGCGATATAAACGTGTGCTCAGCTTACATTTGTCTAAGATCTTAGAAAATTCTTATAAAATCTTACAATTTTTGGGTCTCACGATCTTAGTAAGATTTGTCTAAGATCTTAGACAAATGTAAGCGAAATCTTACTAAGATCTTAGTAAAATTCGAGTAAGCTTTTCACTAGCGTCAACTCCAACTCCGCTAGGCAATCTCAGCTCCAACTCCAACTCCGCTTCAGCTTCGAGTTGAAATCCATTTGTCTTTTTCCTCCTGTTTTTAATTTGTCCATATAACGGTCATGTTTTCTTTTATAATAGTATGCACAAAAAAGATCATTATAATAAACCAAAATTACATTTCAATAGGCCTCTAGCATTCAGATAGAGATATACATGTATCTCAGATATGTCCATTGACATTTGCTTCACATTTGTCACGTTTTCTTTCCTGTTCCGCCGCCATTTTGTCAATGAACGAACAGAATGCGAGTCTATAACTGTTCTCTTTCCTTTTTTTCTTCTACACAGAATGAAAACGTGACAAATGTGAAGCAAATGTCAATAGAGATATATCTGAGATATCTCTATCTGAATGCTAGAGGCCTAATAATGTTAATTTTGACATTTGAAAGAGAATTGAAAACTAAATAAGCGTGGACTTTTATGAAAGTTCCAGTATCTGATCTTCCTGATTTTTGAAGCGATTTCCAAAAAACCTTTTTTAAATTTTACTTCAAAGTTTAAATCTTTGTAGTGTACACATTTATAACTAACTTTGTAGTCATTTTATTGAATACAATGAACACATTGAAAGTCAATGAGCCTATTTTAGAGGATTTGGTTGCTATAGCATAACGATTTTACCTCATGTATACTTATGTTATAAGGCAGCGAGCATCTACATTCACAGCTGCATTAGCAGAAAGAGAAAACAGGTAAACACGCTATATTAGCCAAATCCTCTAAAATAGGCTCATTCAACGCTGCTATAGCTATTGAATCGATACCTGTTTTTTTTGATAGCACATAATTTTTCAGTTTTAGTTCGATACAAAGATAGATTCGCCAGTTATCGAGTTTAGGTTTTAGCATATATTCTGGTATATGATGAGTAAAATGTTGTACAGTCGATATCAATATTACATTCATATTCAAAATGTTGCTTAAAAAGTCACACTTGCTGTGATGGTTCTAATATCTGCTTTTTTAAACTAATTTGTACAGGACACTTTCTAATACAGACTACAAACGTTTTTCGGGTTCACCACGTGTAATTTTCGAGAAAACAAAGGATTTTCAACTCATTTTTTAAATTTTGATAAAATTCTCTAATTTTTAGATTAAGACCTAATATTGTGTAGTTCGATAGGACATCCATTTATGTATACAAAACTTCTTTAATCGTTAACGAATAAGTTTTCTTTAAAAAATTCAAATTTTAATTTCTTAATGGGTGTTTTGTGACTAGGAGTATTTTGAAAAGCTCTTACCAAAGGTTAAGACGCAGAAAGCATTTTGGAACAAAACTGTAGGGACAAAAGTTATTTAGGATCAGGTTTTGCGACCAGTATCAAGTCGGTGTTTTTGAATTTTTAAAAAATACGGTTTTTTAAATTTGAGACTTCAATAAATTTTAATTTTTCGATGAAAACTCATTTAATAATGGTAAAATTTTTCGATATGTAGAAGTTGATGTTCTCCATCGAACTAAGCAAAAATTACATCTTAGTCTAACAATTCAAGGTTTTTATTAAAATTTTAAAAATGGTCAGAAATCATTTAAAACCTTTTTGCTCAAAAACTACAAGGTGTAGACCCAAAATACATTTTGAACTTATATCTGGACGTGTCTTCTAGAAACTAGCCGACGAAACCCGAGATCAAGATCTCCCTTAAGACGATGAATTATGAAATCTGATCAAAGATAGCAAAAAAAGAACAAGAAGTGATGTATACACCGTTCGTACAATTTCAATTTGTTCAATTAGAGGACAAGCCAAAGTGTAGTATTCATCCCTCATACCATTTTTTCTCTGAATACACGTGAAGATGTCCTGCATTAGACGAAAAATATCTAACAAACTTTATCATTATTTATTTACAATTTTTAGGGATAACAAGAAAATAAAGGACAGTGCAAAAAAATTATTGTTTCATAAGAAATACGACAAAATCTTCTCGGATTCAACGCAAATAAAATAAATACAATATCTGACAAGATGATATACATTACAACAATTACTCTTATGATTATTTCATAAGCATTCCACGAATTTTTTGAAATGGATTTGTTATTAATTTATTTCCCAAATCAAAAGTTCGAGAATCAAAACTTTTCGAACGCGGCCTCGAACTATTGAGCATTGTTATATTATTCGTGGTTATTTGCATTGATTTTTTACGTAGAAGCGATGTCGATGAACGAGTTTGGTTTAGTTGTTGTTGTTGTTGTTCATCATTATTCTCTGTCAACAGACGAGAATCTTGAAGCTGAAACAAATAAAACATTGTAAAATAAAAGATTAAAAAGTGATAAATTTCATACCTGTCTTTGTTGTTTCTCTTCTGATTGGTTTCGTCTGAAAGGTAACGGCGGAAGGCCAACAACACTAACAGGCTAATAAAAAACAAATATTAATTATGTTGACAGACATTATGTATTTTTGTAAGGAATTTTGTTTTTTTATTTTCTCCCCTATTTAGGCAAAATGTGCACCTCGTGATCTAGCGATAACTGTGAAGCTAGAAAAGTTCTGGAAAAGGTAGAATATTCTTCCGACGTTGGGGATTGATCAATGCACATTTTTCTCTCAAGCAACGGTCATGGTGGAAGAAAAATGTGTTTTGGATTTAGATAATTATTATCTTTGTCCGGCGCCATTTAGTTAGAGAACGAAAAATAATTTCTTCCTCTGTTTTTCAAATTTCCTTCATTGTTATTTTATATTATAAGCAGTTCAAAGACTAAATCAACGCAAAAATGCAATGCTCACAGCCTACGCGGTAGGTTCAGTCAAAAATGCAGTCTGCTGACATCGCAACTTGTGCGCAGCGCAATTGTAATCTAGTTTTTTTTCTTGTTTAGTCATTTTTTTTTGAAAAATGTGCACGAGGAGATCTCGGCGCCATAAGTTACACAAGTAGAACTAAAATGTTTTTTGGACTTAAAAACTCTTCTAACATCTATAAGAGTTGATTGTCCGGCGCCATTTGTTCTTAAGCCGAAATATAATTTTATTCTCTGTTCTTATAATTATAAATAAAAATAGAAAGAGATTTAAATGCTGAGAATTATATTAATTGAGATTGGCGGATATATTAGGAAAAAAACCTGAGAACAGTTAAATTTACCATCAAAAAATCATATCTCCTCTTTTAGGTATACGACTAAAGAAGAAACATTAGCCTTTCCCATTTTGAAAATTGATCCCTTATTTTCTCGTAGGTCAATACCCAGATTAGATTAAATAAAAGAAAATATTCTTATGAGTTGTTAGAAAATGGACTACTGTAAATAGTATTTACAGTGGCAAGTATTTAGTAAATACTTGCCACTGCTAGATAAACAGAAGAATGAATGTATATAAGAAAAGCCGCTGATGAACGTAATATATTACACTATTGAATTGAATTCATAAGAATAAATCGGCATAGATTAGTAGGAAGTTTTTTTAAGAGTTATGAGGTAAGTAAGTCATCATGATGAATTAGTTCTTTCGCTATATCATCGGTTTTCTACAAAAGGACGGACATGTAATGGTAACTATAATTATATTTATTATATCATCCCTATATTCTTAGACGGACCTTAACTATACGACACAAACACAATACTACCATAAATCATCGAGAAGTATAAAGTTTTTTCGATTTTTTAATGATCTCGCGGTCCCTGTTAATATACCCAATGTCTGTCGGCTCGCAACTTCTGCGCAGCACAATTACATTCTAGTTATTTTTATGCGTTTGTAACAGCTCCTTACTCTATTTTCTTTTTTTGGTTCAGATACTTTTATCATTACACATCGTTGAGTCTCTTTCGATACTTCAAATATTTTTGATAACTTTTTAAGTAAATAATCAATGACAACAAGTGAAACTGAATCACAATCATTAACACCAAGAATAAATTTGGAAAAGCGAGCATAAAACTAAAAAGAGA